GCATCAACTAATACTGTACTAATGGTTAATAGTGTGTTGCAAAAATGACTGATTACCAATGGCAGCAACAAATCTCAGGCTCCTGGTCCTTACTATGATTATGGATCACAGTGACGTCTGCAAACATCATAGTCCATACAGACTCCTGCATCACACTTTACCACTGTCTCACTGTCCTTGTATGTGTCCTGTACGACCCTCACATACTTCTGTTACTCATGACTTCTTTATCTTGTACCAATGTTCCTCTCTTGGCCCATTATCAAATACATTCTCTAGTTCCACTACGGGAACTCCTTGTGACCGTCTTTATCAACATAGAAATCATTGCATCTATAATGCTCTTTCTTGGCATGAAGACATACTGCTGCTTTCTGATTGTCACCATTGTTCTCAACCTAGCTTCTCCCATAGCTTGACTTTATGGCTCATGGACGCTATCCCGCTGTCGTTATAGCACTTCCTGATCACAATTTTCCATCATCTGTTTTTGTTTCTCTGTCATTTTCTTTATTCATGGGCTCCTCAAAGTTCTTTTTTTTCTCTTTAATGTATGTTTCTTTGTTGTTCCTGTGTTTCTTGATTTTGTTTTTCTATTTCTACTCCTTCCTGAACGCTACACATTCTTTCTTCTTTAACTTCCACCGTTTAAACCTTTACTCTACCTTCACTCATTTCCTCTTCTAACATCCAATGCTGCCTAGCTACAGTCTCGCTGACACCATCTCCTTGCAGTCTCCTATCTTCTGCATATGATGTAGTTCCCAAGTTCCTGTTCCTTTCAACTATATGCACATTGAATTGTGCTCCAATCACCACTTGTCAGCCCTCGGGAGACTCTACAACTTCATCCAACTTACTGCATAATTCCTCTTTCTCTTCTGACATCCAATCCGTGAGACATGCTGACATCATTCAACCTCACCCTCATGATTTTGTCTGACAAGTACTAAAACAGAGCTTTTCCATATTTGCTAATGGGAAACACTTAGTCAAAGAAATAATCAAAACATGTCTGATTAATATGTTAAATGAGATATGTAGTTTGAGTAGTACGAATTACTGTTATTGTTGTTATAATTGTTATTACTGTCTGACTTTTGTATGAGTGGACATAATCCAGCTTTGGCAGATTTGTATGTGGAAAAAATAAGAAATGTGTCACCAACCCATCATTGTATATGATTTAGAACGAGAGAAATAGTATTATAGTTAAACACAGAAGGCTTAATACTGAGTTGTATAATTAAGTAAGTAAGTTTAACCAATATAGAGAAAAAGAAAATAGAATAAAACATTTCAATAGCACTAAAGGTGTGCTTCACTTTTTCTTTCTCTCCAATGTCTGTAATATATTGTTGGCCCTGCACAGAAATTTGCAGGTTACACAGTTAAATATGCTTTTATTCAAAGAAACAGATCATTTCAGTTTCCCCAAATTTTTCTCTCCAGCTAATCCCTCTAAAAGAAGGGATTTGAAGAGCCTATTTCCATAGGCTTAAAAGAATTTGGACACTAACCGACAGGGGTCATAAAACACAATGCAATTGTTTTATTAAGAATTCACCAATGTCTGAAATGATTTTAACTAACAAACAAAAACAAACAAAAATCAAAAATCCATTATTCGTGCACTCTAATAAACATTGAGCACAGCTTTATATGAATAATTATTTGTGGTGTTTATTGGTAAATTGTGCTGCAGGTGTGTAATATAGGATTATGTTATTACCATTCAACATCAAGCCATCAAAAAGCAACAGAAGCCACGAGTCTGATTTAGATTAGAGCTGTATGGTGGAAAAAACCACCACAGTGAAAATTAATCAACAACAATTAGCACTGTAGAAAAACTTTTAGAAACAGCTTCTTATTTTTGACTTTTGCCACAGTAATTGTCAAATAAAATAAACTATCACCAAATGGATACATATTACTTCAGTAAAACTGTTTGGCCTAGAGTACATA